CGGCAAAGCTCACGCCGCAGCTCTTTGCCGAGTTGACGGGGCCGGGGTCCTCGTTCGGACCGGGCCGCTCGGCACCTGCTGCGGCTCAGTCCTCGTCGGTCGCGGTTCGCGAGGTCATCGAGGCGGACTCTGACGCTGGGGATCCCCACAATTTGCTCGGCCCAGTGGGAGAGCCGACTTCGTTCCGGCCCCACAGGACGCCGTAGGTGTCTGTTCAGGCAGCTCCAAGGCCGGAGCAGATCACCGATTTTGACAAGGGGTGATCTTCCCTGCGCCCATCGAGGCAGGTTAATTTTGCTCTTGCGCTCGCTTTCTGGCAGCACCGACCTGACAGGTGCCGCCCGCTCGGTCCAAAAGTGGGAAGTGTCTGCGGCAGTTCAGCGGGAAGCAGTGCTGCAGCGCTCTCTCTCTCTCTCTCTCTCTCTCTCTCTCCGCAGGGAAGGCTCGGGTTGCACGAGCCTGCTGCCTTAGTGGCTCCATGGGCTTCACGACCATGTCCAACATGCCGCGGCTTTTCTGATCGGGCGCAATTCTGCGGAAGTGCATTAACGTGCATCCCCGTAGAAGGGAACAGATCGAATCTCTTCGAGACATGCTTCAAGCAAAGGGTCCTGAATGCACTAGTTCGCGGCCCGGGGCGTGCAGTAACGAAACATACAGTGCTAGCTGGAGTCCTTACATCTGTGGAACCCGGACATTTGCGGACTGACAAGAATTCGGGATACCTCGGCTGGGAGTATGCAGCGGAAGCATGCAAGCACATTGCAGGACCAGAGACATACAAATATCCGAATGGAAACAGGGGCTCGTTTCAGGCTTCTCCGAGAAGGCATGCGACCTCACATCACGATGGATGGGTCAAGAACGTGGTGTCCAGGCGATGGATGTCCGCATGCGAAGCAGCTTGAACTCCAGTGTACGATCTGCGCACTCTCAGGACCGCTGCGTTGGAGCGGCCGTAGAGCGGATGCTGACGCTCTGTCAGCGGCATACTCGCATCTTTCGTCCTGCAGGTGAGAGCCGAGAGCCAGCAGAGCCAGTCAAGGCCGAGCCCGTCGCCTCCGGACCTGGCCAGGAGGGCCCGCGCCCGCGCCGTCCTGCGACGCAAACGCGGCTCTCTGCGACTCTGCGCTGCGTTTGGGTAAAACCGAAGCGCCTCCGCGCAACGCCGCACAGGTGGGGGCGTTCGCGCCCGGGTAGGTCGAGGCTGGTCCCACTCCTGACCGAGGAGGCCGCGGCGCTCGGACGCTCCTTCGAAGGCGATTTCTGCAAGAGAGCCGTAAAAAGCGCCGTCGGGTGTCTGCCAGCGCTGTGGGCTTTCCAGCCGAACCGTCAAACCTATCGAGTGCACGTGTGACGACGAAGGCACTTCCACGATCCCCAAGGCCCCGGCAAGCTGGCTACAGACCGGTTTTGCCCCCTTGGCGTGGCTAAACCTGACGGGATGCTGTTAAGCAGATCCAAAGGACTCGAGAACCAAACACTTCAGGCCGAGCTTGGCTGAGAAGACATCTGAGGAAACGGCAAGATGCTGAAGAAGGCGGTGGGGTAGCCGTTCGCCGGGAGCCATCACTGAAGATGTCTGCTTGCTGCGCCCTCTGCGGCCACAAGCACACCAAGACACACCAACAGACACGATTCAAGCCGCGCAGAAGACTGCCGCATTATCCGGGGCCAACGCATGAAGGGCATGCCCAGTGCTCCCAAGTGCTTCCGCCTCAAGACTTCACCGGATCGTTTCATCACTCCGCACGCTGCGCACCATGTCACTGCTCAGGCCAGCGGGCCCTGGATACTCCCGCAGGATGTTGGCCTCGAAGGAAGTGGGATGGCTCAGGACGCTCAGCTGTGCATGACCCGACCACCTTGCGCTCAGCCCATAGTGGCTCTGATTGCCGCGGGGTCAGCTGGCCATACACAACCTGCCAGAAAAGTCCAATGCACATCTCGTCCATGCAGGAGCATCGCGAGCATAGGCGAGCAGGTTGCCTTGTCAGTCGTACATTTCATTGCGCAAGCTGGCTCGTGAAAACCTCCAAACCGGGAATCAGTTGCATTCCGAAGGGGCCTGCCATGCCATGATAACCAACAGCAAGAGCGCTTCCCTCACCCGCACTGAGCGCTGCGCCTGAAGCGGCTTTCACCAACCTGACGGAGAATCTGATTAGGCCCAGGGCGTGTGGGTGCCAAGATTAACATTCATCCACTGAACTTCGTGAGCAGCTTCGACATCATCCGCTTTTGGGCTGGCTCTGACAGCACATCGGCGCGCGCAGAGTGAGCCGACTCGTCAACGTTCCCTTGCTAGCTGATGGAGTAACACAAACATCAACTGCAGGCGATTAAGGCGCTGGACAACTTCAGTGTGACTCGAACCATTTATACAGGGGACTTCGTTGCCCTTTTCAGGGGGACTGTGGAAGCAGGACTGCGACTTCAGCAACCAAAACGTAATTTGCGCGACGTGTCGGCCGTGAAGCCAACGTTGGACACGCACCGCAGTGCAACGCAGTGCAACGCAGTGGCTGCAGTGGTCTAGCAGTTTCGCCCCGCTGACACAAAAGGGACGTGACTGTCGGGAACACTTGCCCACATGCCTTGGTTCTCCGGTTTTGCCCAAGAAAGAGCAGCTTTCTGTGTGCTCTTATTATGGAAACGTTCAACATGAAAGGCGAGAGAAAGCAGAAAGACTGAAGCAGCACCTTTGGACAGTTTCGAACGCTTTGCAAGCATTACTGCGCTGTACCAAGCTAAACGCGACCCAATATCTGCAGTTCTGCAGTCAAGATCCAGCCAATGATGGCAGTCAGTCCAGTAGTTCTCTGCCGCGACTTCAGTGCCCTTCCAAGGGGTGAAGATGTGAGCTCGGCCAAGCAGATCTACGAAGCGCTGCAGCAGCAAGAGGATACCCAAGCACAGCCCACACTGCTCTGCGGGGGGCCGTGCCGAAATCTTGCACCATCAGATATGCGATATAGATTGTGACCGGTCATCGAAGTGCAATACTCCAGACGTTAGCCGTCACGACTGCTCCAGTATGCTTCACTCATACACTCTGGCCGCAGAAAAGAATTGGTGCATTGGCCCACAGAGAACATGAGTTTGAATGGAGCTCAGCATTAGACTGTGGCACGATGCTGTCAGGGTCGCCCTTTGCCTGTCCCGAGCTTCCGGATGCCAGCCCGCTCGCAAAGTGCAGAGGTTCTCGCTGCGGCCTGTGCAGCAGAAGGCAGCCGGGAAACGCCTTCTAGGCCCTAGGCTCGAGAGTAGGACCCCTGCAGCCAGCAGAGCCGGAGGTGTCCTTCCATTGCGTGCCAACCCTGACCGGAATCAAAGCCACAGCCTGGAAGACTCGACACATCTTCGGGCCTCTTCCCCTTGTCAACGTGGATTTCTGCAGACGTTTGTCCTCACTGCACAGACGGAAAGACTTGCAAGCGCCTCATCTGGGGCTAAGACTCGACTTCTCCAGCTTTGAGGATCGAGGCTCGTGCCAGCAGTGTCAACAAAGCAGACCTTCCTGAGTGAACTGGAGGTGACGCTACTATCTACATACTGTACAGATCCGCAGCACACATGAAACTCTACTGGTATGCACTCGCAAAGGCCTACAGTCTCCGAAGTCCCCGGCGGATCGACACGTCGCTTGCCTCACTGGCCAAGTTACGGGCAAAAACTCCGAAAGTACAGCACTTCGTCCCTGCGTTCTTGGGCTCAGAAGGCTGCGGGAGTCAGCCACAGAGCCTGTCTCGGGTGGGCCGGTGCCTGCAGAGAGGGCGCGCATGTCAACATGTCGCTGAGCTGCGTGGGGCTGCAATGACCTAGCCACTGCAAAGAATATCACGGGCGTGCCGCCACTCCGCGACGCGCGTGCGCACACGTGGTTGTCGCTGCGCTCCTTTCTCGACTGGACTGGCGAGGCGTGGCGAAGGCCCAAGAGCTCATGGATCAACTTCTAGACAAGTTGAGATGTGAGCGATACCTCCGCTTCGAGAAGAGCCGATGTCGGCTTTTCTTTTCTTCTGAAAAATGCCATAGAAAGCCTTCCTAACCAAGATCCACGAAAGTCTGCATCTGCTCACAACATCCCTAGCGACAGAAACCTTCCAGTCTGGTATGGCGGGTTGCTCGCCTTGGCCGAAGACGACAGCACCAACCAGATTGGCCCCACCTCCTTCCACAGATGTCTGAACTTCACAGAACTGCTCGCTGAGTGCGTGCATCTAGGTAAACTACTTTTCGTATCTGGCCATGCTGGAGGCTGAGATCCGGGCGACCGTCCTGCGAGACTATGCAGACAAGTGGCCAGACTTTTCACGGGCAGCACTTCAAAACTTCTCAAGTGCACTCACGCGTCATGCAGAGGCAGAAAGAGGGCTTTGGGAATGGGCCTAGGCTGCTACGCCTAGCGAAGTTCTTACAAGGAAGCTGTAAGGCGAAAAGAGTCCTGCTTCGCGGCCTTGGACTTCCAAGATGGTGCGCCGGCCTGGAAGAGCTCAAGAGCCAAGAGCAAGTCAATTCCAGTCACAACAATTCACAGGTTTAGCGGAGCTCGCCGGTGAGAAGCGGGCAGAATCTTTGCCAAAGACTGCCACTCGTGCTGCCTGATCAACGGTCAATGCAAAATTCGGGTCACCCCGCCCTACAAAGCCGGTGTGTCTCATGCACAACTCTTGCATCGCAAGTGTAGTTGGGCACTTACTCACCAAACGAAATATCACACAATCGCAATGGATTGCTTGTTCTTGCCTGGATTTGCTGCTGCTCAACTTGGGACGGGCAGCCTTGCCCAAAGACCTGCGGCTAACAGGGGTGCCCACAACTTCGGGGTTCTACTCGGATCGCATGCTCGGGATTTCGGAACGGACCCGGTCAGCTACGCTGCAAGTCCCAGTTTCGGGGGAGCAGGGCAGTCTCGGTCCCGCGTGCTCTTCTCCCACCAACATTTCATCCAGAAAGAACTCGCAAACCACACAAATCATAGTCGTCTGTGCCCACCCCCCCCAAGCCCCCCCCCCCCAGGCCAAAAAAATGCCGGCGCTAATTGCTAGCAGTTAGCTGGCTAATAGCTGACTAATAGCTAGCTAATAGCTAGCTAATAGGTGCCTAATAGGTGCCTAATAGCAAAATCCACTAATGGATGGCTATTAGCTAGCTATTAGCTAGCTATTAGCTCACTAATAGTCGACTATTAGACGAATTTGGGGGTGGACCTGCTAATGAGCGCTTAACTGTCGCTTAATTTGGGTGCCTTGGCCCTGAAACCCACTCGAGCCTGAAGATCACTAATTGTGCTCTAATTGCTCCTTAAAAGTTGCCCCTGGATGATTCGTAAATTACTGCTACTACTCCTGTTGTTACTCCTGCTGCTGCTACTGCTGCTATTAATACTACTGCTACTTCCAGCTACAACAACAACAACCTGCTGCTTACGGCTGTTGCGCTACTGCTAATGCCAATGCTACTGCTACTGCTACTGTGGCTGCCGCTGCCGCTGCTACTGCAGATGCTCCTGCTCTATTATTACTATTATGGCAGATTTGCTCGTGGCACGGCCGAATTGATTGCACGTCCCGCCCGCGAATGCTGGCAGATTTCAGCCACACATATACTTGCGGGTTGCAGAGCCAACGTAGATTCAAGATTGTCCTGGGTCCTGAACCCTAAGTTTAGTGCTGTATTAAGCCTTCCTTCTTTACGTCCTTTTGAAATCATGGTAAAATTGGTCGTGTTCTTAGTGTCCAGGGTGGGACCGCAATTCAAGGACAAAAGCACTTCAGGGATTACATGACTGTTGTACGCACCTATGCCTGCCTAACAAAACATTCAGACGTGAAGTCCTCGGTGGTAAACCTCAGAACCCGTGTGGTGCAGCGATGGCATTGCCAGTGGCTGATGACGACCACGCACGTGGTTCCTTCCACGGTGTCGTGGAGCTGCGTGTAAAATCTGCGCATGCTGACGGTGCAGCCCATACCCTCCTTGCTTACCTAAGCGATGAGGAGCAGAAAGAATGGACGGCTACACAGGCCCGCGTCTTTCTAAGGAACAGTTATAAGGCAACAGTTAAGGGACATTTAAGGAACATTTAAGGAGCATTTAAGGAGCATTTAAGGTACAATTAGGGATCACTTGGGGCGATCGGAAGGGTCTCTGGGGCGCAGGTGGCGACTTTCCTTGGTCGCTCGCGCAATGAGAAGGCCAGCCTGGAGCGGCTGCGAAACTCGTTCGATGAAATCAATGATTGCCATCGGCAAATATGGCCGGGCGTGGATCCTCCGTATCGACAGCCCCGGTTTGGCCAAGGTCAGCCAGCCCCTGGACAGGTGCAATGGTTTCCAGAACGCACGCTGACGACCTCCATGTTCATGGCATACGTGCTGTTCTGCATTGGCTGCATCGTGTCTGGGCTTTGCAACAGAAACGCCTTAATTCGTGTCTTGTTTCTTTCCTTCTCAGAAGGGCCTGTGCGGGAGTGTTTAAACTTTGGACTTGGGCGGGATTATTGGGATCTCAATCCTTGCCGGCCGGTGGGCACTGTGAGGGAAAGGCATTAGACTTCCGGAGAAACCCAGTTGATTCTGTATCTGCAGGACCGCCATCTGCCGGACCGCGCCCACGCATGCAAAGCCTTCGGCCACCTGCTGGCCAAGCTCTGTGCCTGGTCTGGCCCACTTGCGCTGGCGTTTCGAGTGCTGGAAGGAGGCGTCGGACGCAGAAAAGCACCTAAACAAAAGCCGCCAGGTTGGGATTCCCCGTAGTCCCTCTTAAATGTGGGATTTGGGTGCTTTGTCGGTTCCTGAGAGGTGGCCATGAGGACCCGACCTGGGTCCACATATCTGTGGGCGTGGATGCGAAGATTGCAACTGAAATGCTGTGGACACAGACAATCTACGACCAGTTTATCAAAGATGCGTGGGCCAAAGATCTGGCCGATCAGTCCAAGACGTGGGTCACTTCGGCGATTGGCTCAATTTGCTTGGCCGAGCTGATTTGTTTTGGCTTGGACCCGAAGCACGATCGTGCGCTCAGGCAGCTGCTGCTGCCAAACTGCTTGTGCCTGCTGAGCCAGCTGGCGAAGCATCTGGACACTCACGCGGAAGACCTGGGAAAAACTGGGGAAACCGATGGCCGAGTCAGCCGGCGGAAGAAGTTCACGGCCGTGGCGCTGATGGAGCGCTGCAAAATTGCGGAGCGGATGTGGAACGGTGAGGACGACGTGACAATTAAGGGGTAGTTAAGGGACCATTAAGGGGTCATTAAGGGGTCATTAAGGGGTCATTAAGGGACAGTTAAGGCTTGACTAAGCGTTTGTATACAAACAGGAAACAGACAAGCAGGACCGTTTCCTGGCGAAGGCCATGAAAGCTGTGCTTGGTGATGCGGCCGCCAACATGACGCACTGGCAGGCCGCGCACAATGCAATGGCAGCATAGCTTGATTTCTTCAGCAACAACTTTAGAAGTTATTTTCGAGTAATTACAATGAACAACGATCAATATTACTTGTCTGATATCCCCAAGCATTGTAGCTAAGTTCGTCTACTACTTCTATGCCCTCGAAAAGCTGGCGAAGACGAACGTGATTCATCTGTACATGGATGCCTCGTCTGTGGCGAAGAGACTGGGTACCACACTTGAGTGTTTCTTCGGGGGACCTGTTCCATAAAGGGACCTTTATGAAATAATATGGTATTTTTCCTCCTCGGCTACATACAACCCAGGAAGCCAACTGAGTTGGTTTACTTGTGGAGCCCAGAGCATCAACGGGGAGCATTTTCTCCGCCACTTGCGCGGCCCTCAGACTGAGTGTGAAAGTTTGGACCGTGCCGACACAACCACAACCACACAAGCCCCCCCCCTCAACACCACCCACCATACCACCCGCCCACCCACCACCCACCACAGCATCCACCACACCACACCCCCAGATCTGTCTTGTAGTACAGTTAAGCCAAAATTGCAGCACGTGCCGCTTAACTGTGCACTAACTGTTCCTTAACTGCTCCTTAATTTCTCTTCTCAGCATGTTTGCTCCTTGGTTTTGAAACTGGTCTCGTCGGTCCTGATAAACAGAAGCACTGACATTTCTATGCCAGCTTCATGCGCCTGTGGCTACAGAAGCTCCTTTGCAAGCGCACGCCCGTGGATCCTGCTTTCGCATTCGCTTGCTCAAAGACTTCAAAGGGACCGCGTACATCATTGAATATAGTGAGCTGTACCCTGTGACGTAGTCCGGTGTCTGTGACAACTTTGTTTGTGCAAGCGAATTCACATGTGCAAGCATGTCCCTTAAACAAGTCCACACGAGAAGTTGTTTTTTCTTAGTTTTTTGAGCATGGCGACATGCATCGACGAACGAGATGTGGAGATGTACAGCGAATCCAACAGCGAAGCCCCTGCGTGGACACGATCATCGGCTACATCCTTACTTTCTGAAGACTTCGCCGAGGCATGCAACGAAGAATATTCGAGCCCAATCAATAAGTTGTCGGGGGTTTGTACAATCACTGACGTAAGCTGTTCTAGGGTTTTCCACAGGAGAAGCAGCAGTGGCAGCACGAGGACATGCTCACCAAAAGTGGGCACTTCGCACAAATTGCGTGGCGGGTCGTTGTGAACAAGCTTGGCGTGGATGCCATTGAGGCTCTTTGTTATGCATCTCCAAAAGTATGCGTTTAAATACACTAGGTTGGGCCATCATAGGCTAAAGACATATAATTTATTAGTTTAACTGTTGCTTAACTGTAGCTTAATTGTAGCTTAAGTGTAGCTTAATTGTACTTTAATTGTACCTTAAAAATGTCACGCTGCTGCGCTGGATTTTCTGCTCAGTCGCTCGACTGCAATTGTTTCTTTGATTGAAGGCTTCGATGCTTCGGGCTGCAAAGACGACATCTTCTACATGCACGGGAGCCTACACCAGCGAGATGGCTCTCGCTGTCATCGAAAAAACCGTGAACGATTCGGGAGTGCTTGCGGCGGCGATAGGTTTTCGGGCGGTGGCCGCATTTGTGCTTGACTCAGAACACTCGTGCCGATTTTGGAGAATGCAGATCGCCGGTGCAGAGTGTAGATCGTTGAACCGTTGCAGCATGGATAGCAAAATTTGTTTTTATACTATGTCGCCTGAGGAGATAAAGAAGCAGTGCCGTCAAGTGATGATGGGCAACCACCTATGGTGCCAGGATGCGACACAGCACAGCTCCTTAACACTCGTATCATGAGCCTTTAGTTTGTTGTTCCTTGTGTGTGTGCAGAGGGCACCGATAAACGCCACAGTTCAGACATGTCCTATTGAAACGCCCCGCGTGCTGCAGTGATCATCAATCAAACACTAAGGTTATCCTCCCCCCTGTGTCTTCGGCGACGTGTGCAAATGCATCCCCGAGGGGACTCTGGATGGTTGTTCCGACTTCACAGAGAAGTTGCGGGCAGTGGATGCTGCCTATTTTCAGCCGTGGCAGTTTTGCCACACCTGCAACCGAGAATGCGACATTCTGGGGACTGAGACCGCCTCTATGTTCGAAGTTGCGGGGCTTCCCTGCACAGATCACTCTAGAGCAGGAAAGCGGGCTGGGATGCACGGAGCAACAGCTCCCGTGTTCATGGCACATGCGAAAATCCATGTCCACAAGCAGACACCTCTCATGATTATTGAGAACGTCGAGGCCAGCGAAAGTTTGTCGAAACTACGAACAACAATAAGCACACAATAAGCACACAATAAGCACACAATAAGGACACAATAAGGACACAACAAGGACACAACAAGGACACAGTACACAAAGATTCGTA